CCTCTTCCTCCTCTTCCTCCTCTTCCTCCTCTTCCTCCTCTTCCTCCCCTTCCTCCTCCTCCTCCTCCTCACTCAGGCTCTCTTCCTCACTGACACTCAATTCCTCCTCTTCCAGGCTTTCTTCTTTCAAGCTTTCCTTGCTTGGGCCTCTTTCTCTCATACTTTCTTCACTTGGGCCTCTTTCTCTCAGACTTTCTTCACTTGGGCCTCTTTCTCTCAGACTTTCTTCACTTGGGCTTCTTTCTCTCAGACTTTCTTCACTTGGACTTGATTCTCTCAGACTTTCCTCGCTCAGACTTATTTCTCTTGGACTTTCCTCGCCCAGGCTCTCTTCTTCCACACTGAGAACCCCCTTCCCGTCTTCCCTGACCTTGTCCTCCTCCCCCACAGGCTCCAACTCCTCTTGGATGAGACGTCCCTCCTCTTCTTCACTTGGACCCTCATGCGCACTCGGCTTCTTTTTCACCTCAGCCACCCTCTTTTCCTTTTTTCTTTTTTTAGCCAGCCTTCTTTTTTTTGGTTCCTCAGCCAAGTTCCACAAGTCCTCTGCACTTGCGCTGACCTCTCTCTTCGGGTATCTCCTTTTCTTTTTCTTGGGCACAGCCTCTTCCTCTTCCTTCTCGCCTTCCTCTAGGCTCTCCGTTTCCTCTTCCTCGGGCACCCATGCTCTTTCTGGATAAGTTATGCCTTCCTTCATTTTCTCCTCAGTCCATTCCTCCAAGAGTTGACCTCTGACATTGTCCAGCAGCCACTTCAGCTGGATCTCTTCCGCCTCACCCTCTTCAATGTGCTTGCCAAGCTCCTCTAGCCGACTTTGCTCTAAGAGCTGTACTTCCTGGAGTCTCGTCAGCAGTGTCTTCACCTGGGTTTTCTTCAGGAAAACCTTCTTCTGGTTCTTCTTTAAGAACTTGCTGTCCTCCTCCAAGCGGGCTTTCTCAGTCAGCCTGTCACCTTCTCGCTTTCTCTCTTTCCAAGTCTGTTCCCTTTCTTTAGTTTTTAACCTCTGTTTCATAATATCCCATGCACGGCCATCCACTCTCATACGGGGGAGCATCTCATCCTCTGCCTTGCTGGTCTTCCTCAAAGGCATTGGACCCGCTTCTCTAAGGAACCCGACCAGGACCTTCAACAGTTGCTTCGCTTTCACCTCTAGGTTTTTCTTGGCACCAGCTTCCATCTCTTTAGGATGAACCCCGCTTTCCACAGCCTGCTCCTTAACTGCCTGCTTTCTTCCCTCTCTTTCTTTTCTCGTATCCTTAGCAACAGGCTCCCGCTTGATCCTAATGCTAGAGGATAATTTCCTCTCTTCCTGGAACAATTTTTCTTGTTTTTTCTTAATTTCTTTCTCTTTCCGGGTTATTTCTGTTTTCCCCTTTGCTAGCATCAGTCTTTCCCTAGACTTAGCCTTTTTTTCCTGAGCAGGGTGCCTCTTTTCCAAGCCTTTTGCAGTCAGTATCACTTCCTCTTTTTCTTGGAATAATTTATCTTGTTTTTTTATAATTTGTTTCTCTTTTTGGGTTATTGTTTTTCTTCCCTTTTCTAGCCTCATACTTTCCCTGAATTTAGCCTTTTTTTCCAGCTCAGTATGCCTCTTTTCCAAGCCTCCTGGGGTCAGTATCATTTCCTCTTTTTCCTGAAACTGGCCCTTGCGTTCACCAGCCTGCCAACCCCGCATTACTGACCTCACTCTCTCTTCTCGAACCAATGGCTTTTTCTGTGCAGCCTTTCTCTCCTCCTCCTGGAACTGGCTCTCCTTTTCCTCACTCCGTACTCTCTCTTTCTCCTCATGTAGAACTGGTTTCTCTTTTTTCTTGACTCTCTCTTTTCTTCCCTCAGTTGCTTTCTCATCTTTGGGAATCCCTAGCTCCATCTTTGCCTGCTCCCTTTCTTCCTGTGTTATCATGTCTTCTGGGACTACCATAAGTTTCTCCCTTTGCCGTGACCTGATATTCTCAGGCTCTTCTTCCACTTGCTCAGACAGTTTTTCTCGTAGGTTGACCAGTCTTTCTTTTTCAGCTCTCCACTTCTTTTCCTCCTCAGCTGCTTCTTTCTGTTTTCTTAGTTCTTCCTCCTCCTCCTCTTCCTCCTCTTCCTCCTCCTCCTCTTCTTCTTCTTCCTCCTCCTCCTCCCCCACCTCTTCTTCTTCCCCTTCCTCCTCCACCTCCTCCTCCCTCTTCTCTTCCTTTGCTAGCCCCACTTTCTTTTTTTCCCAGAATGCTCTTCTCCCTAACTCAATCATCCTTTTCCCTTTCTGGGCTATTCCCCCTTTCCAGGTGGGCCTAACTACTTGGGAGAGTTTCTTCATTTTTTCAAACTCTTCCTTCTCTCCTAGGTCCAGTCTCTCTCTTTCCTGATCTAAATGTTTTTTCTCCTCGGCTGTATCTTCCTCTACCAGCTCTTGTCCTGACTGCAGCTCTGGCCACTCTTCCTGCTGTTGTTCATCCTCTTCCCTGACTCGTCTTTCTGTTTCTTTTTCTTCTTCTGTAGGCAAATCCTGTTTTTGAGCCAGCATGTCCTCTAGCTCTGTCAGGCTCTCACTTTCTGTTGTTTCCTCACTTTCCTCCTCAGATAATTCTCCCTCTTCTGGAGAAGAATAATAGTGGTCCAGTGTCCCCAGTTCCCAGTCATAGTCTTTGTCCTCTTCAGTTCTCTCTGATCCCCAGATCTGTTCCTTCTCCTCCCAAGGCTGTACCGTCCTTTCCCCAACTTGTTCCCCTGCGTCCAGGATCAGTTGCTTTTCTTCCTCAGCCAATTCCTCCTCTTCCTCTTCCTCTTCCTGCTTCCTTTCTCCCTTCTTCTTCTCTCTGCGTTTTTTTGCTAAGGACTGCAACCTCTGTTGCCTGACTCTCATTTTCTCCTTGTGGTCTTCCATAATCGTTGACCAATCCCGCTTTTTCTTTCCCATGGCTGTTGTCTCTTCTTGTGTGTCTGTTTTCTTTTCTTCTCTAGATAGTTTCTTCTCTTGTATAGGCAGCTCCTTTTCTTCAGGAGCTAATGTCACATCTTCTGTAGCTAACACTTTTGGGAAGCCATCATGCCTTTCTTTGTCCTGCACCATCCCTTCTTTTGTGTCTGTTTTCTTTTTTTTTCTAGATAGTTTCTTCTTTTGTATAGGCAGCTCCTCTTCTTTAGGAGCTAGTGCCTCGTCTTCTGTAGCTAACACCTTTGGGGAGCCATCATACCTTTCTTTGTCCTGCACCATCCCTTCTTTTGTGTCTGTTTTCTTTTTTTTTCTAGATAGTTTCTTCTCTTGTATAGGCAGCTCCTCTTCTTCAGGAGCTAATGCCTCATCTTCTGTAGCTAACACCTTTGGGGAGCCATCATGCCTTTCTTTGTCCTCCATCAATGCCTTTTCTGGAGAAGTTGGTTTCTTTTCATCCATGATCTGTTTTGTCATCTTTTCTTTTCTGAGATGTGTCTTCTTTTTTCTAGCCAGTCCTGTTTCTTCTTGCAGTAACTTCTGGTCTTCCACAGTTAGCAGCTTTTGTGGGGCATCTGCTGTATCTTTGTCTTGTGTTAGTGTCTCCTCTGGGCGGCCTGGTTTCTTTTCATCTGGGATTAATTTTCTTTTTTCCTTCTTTGCTTTCTTGGGCTTTATTAGTTGCTTTTTCTCTTTAAGTGTCATCACCTCTCCTTTGCCTTCGATTCTTTTCCCTTTCTGTTTGCTTGGTTTCCTGACCTTTGCCTTAAGTTTCCTTTTCTCTAAGATCCAATTACTGTCTAAGAAATCCATCATCGTTTTCATGTCTTCCGGAGAAAATTCCTCATATTTCTCCAGAAAACTTAAGTCCTTTTGATCTGTAGCTGTCTCTGGCACTTTCTGTTTGACAACTCTTTTAGGCACTTTTCTTCTACGAACAGGTGGTTCCTGGACAGTAGCCTCAGATTCTGGGAACCCGGTTCGTGAGACCCTTCTCTGGGGACATAAGTCTTGGAAGAGAGTCCAACTGGGTTGGTTGGTGAGCACCCTCTCAGCCAAATTCTCCAGTTCTTCACCCAGGTCCCTTACCATATCTGGCTGAGAACTTGCTATTCTGAAAGTGAGAAGGGAGCAAATATCCTCTCGCCAAGATGTCCTGTCTGATTGGCTCATACGCCTGGGGGTCCCTGCCAAGCCATGACTCACCCTTTCGAATTTCTTCAAGTCTTTTTCTGACTCAGCAGGTGGTAGGGATTCCTTTGGGGCTTCTTTCTTGGGTGTTTCAGTAGTCACCTCTGAAATGCTCTCCTTTGGCGCCTGCTGTGCTACTTTTTCTTTCTTCATTGCTTCTTTCAAAAGCTTTTTAAAGTGAGTTTGTCTTCTCTGCTTAAGGAACTCTTCTCTATCTGTGGCCTCCAGGACTTCTAGGGCCTCTCTGATTTCCTTCGCCCCTCTTTTTTGCTGGATTTGCTCAGAGCTGAGTAGTTGCTCTAGCCCTAAGGAAGCATCCTGGATGTCAGCTTTCATGCGTTTCCTAAACCTTCTCTGTTCGCCTGATGTCACTGAAGGCACCTTCAGCAAATCTGCCTTTTTGGTTCTCTTGGACACTTTTAGGGTCTTTCTAACTGCAAGATATTGGGAGAAAAATAGTGTGAAAATTGTAGAGGTTGGGAGATGCTCTGTAACAGCTGGTTCAGGAAACTGCGATGGGAGTAATAAAGGCAAGAGGGACAGGACTTTAGATTTACCAGTGCTCATACTTTTAGCCAAGTTTCAAAAGCTGACTTTGGTACTTATGCTGGGTGGATCTATGACTAGTGCCTCCACCCCCAGCACTTCACTGTTCCACTTTATTTTTAAAGATTTATTCATTTATTATGTATACAACATTCCTTCCATGTATGCTTGCAGGCCAGAAGAGGGCACCAGATCTCATTATAGATGGTTGTGAGCCACCATGTGGTTGCTGGGAATTGAACTCAGGACCTCTGGAAGGGCAGTCAGTGCTCTTAATCTCTGAGCCATCTCTCCAGCCACTTTTTATGTACCTTTGCTACTGACCCTGCCTTAGGAAGACTGGCCCCAAATGGGTCCCATACATCATCACCCATCCATACCAATCTTTCTGGTCTTTTCTTGAGCACGTTTCTTTCTTCTCTTCAGCCCATCAATCTTTTCAGATTCTGACAAAGGTATAAATGTTTGTTCAGAAACCATCTCCAAGTCCTCATACTTCACTGAATCAAAAGAAAAACGGAGTGAGCTATCTCTGTGTGACAGGGTCAGGTCTTCATTTAGCCTCTCCTTCACATGAGCAAGCAGGCACTCCTTATCACTAGCTTGAATCCTCAGCAGATGGCTTAGAGAGACAGCCTCACTCATTTCTTGCCTACAAAAGTAATGAAGAAAAGAAGACAATACTTAGCAAGGAATAAGACAAAATTTAAAATGAGGAACAGAGCCAGCAGTGGTAATGGTGGTGGTGGCTGTAGTGGCAGCGACAAATCCCAGCACTCAGGAGGCAGAGACAGGTGGATCTCTGTGAGTTCAAGGCCAGCCTGGTCTACTTAGTGACTACCAGAACAGTCAGAGCTACACAGTGAAACCCTGTCTCAAAGAATAAGGAAGGGAGGGAGAGAGAAAGGGAGGGACAGATTAAGGAAGGAAGGGAGGGAGGGATAAAAGGAGGGAGGAAGGAAAGAAGGGATGGAAGAAGGAGAGAGGGAAGGCAAAGATGGCTCAATGTTTTAGTGTTAAGAGTACTGGCTGCTCTTCCAGAAGACTTGAGTGTGGTTCCTGAACCCACATGGTAGCTTACAATGTCTAAAACACTTCCAGATCTGATGCCTTCTTCTGATCTCCGCAGACAGTGCACACACATATGGTATATATCTATATATTTATAGATATATACCTATAGATATAGACACTGGCAGGCAAAGCACACACACATAAAAGAAAAATAAAATAAATCTTTAAAAACATTTTGCTTTGTTTTTTTGAAACAGGATTTCTCTGTGTAGCCCTGGCTGTCCTGGAACTTGCTCTGTAAACCAGGTTGGCCCTGAACTCACAGAAACCCACCTGCCTCTGCTTCCAAAGTGCTGGGATTAAAGGTGTGTGCCACCACCGCCCAACCCAAAAACATTTTTAGAAGAAAAGAAACAAGAAAAAAGGAAGCAGGAAACAGAGAGAAGAGGAAACAAGGGGGAAAAATTCATAAAGCACAAAAGAAGAGGTGGTACTGAAGTCGTTTAAAAAGAGACTGAAGTAGAACACAGAGGAAGGAGAAAGGGCAGAAAGAAAATGTCCTTTTGGCCCCGGAAAACTTGAGATCTTCTAAACCCCTCAAAGTCACTCAGGCAAAGCAATCTCTTTTGGCAATAAAGGAAAAGAGAGAGAATGCAGGGTTAGTTGTTTTGGTGATGGTGATTGGTTTGGTTCGGTTTTAGTTTTTAGAAAGTCTTACTGTGTGGTACAGACTGAACTAAAAGTAACCCAGGTTGGCCTCAGATGTGATCCTTCTGCTCCGGCTCCTAACTGGGATTGCAAGTGGTCATTCCTCCACCGCTCTTTGCACCTATCAGGTTTTTACACCGATATCTGATTCCCAAACTTTTATTAATAATAGAATAGTATAGGTAAATAGAATAGTATAGGTAAATGCTCATCTGGCATCAACTCCTAGCAAGATTACCCAGCAGCTTTCAAAGCCGTCACTCCTCCATGCTGCTGCAGTTCACTGTGGGTTTTCCAGCCGTGGTCCCCCGGCTCTCCCTGAGCCAACGTTCCCCAGGCCGCAGTCACAGTCACACGCTGCCAGCTCTGTCATCCGGGGGGGCCCACGCCCTTGCACACTGTGCTCTCAGTCGCCAGCTGCATATGAACAGCTGCGCTGCCTTAGGCCTGGCCTGTGCATCCCAGCAGCTAGCCCGGCTGTAGGATACTCCGCCACAGCCACTCACCTCTCAGTAGCACAAGCACCTGGGACAAGTGGAGTTAGCCCAGATTCCTGGGCACTTCACTCTGGGCACCCCACTGCTCCACTCCCCGCCCCCAGTTGAGAGCCATTGCTGCCACTGGTCACTCCCACACAGTTCCATCAATGCTGCTAAGTCAGCAAATCTGCTGAATCTGCTGAAAAGTCAGCAAATCTGGTGAAACACAGTAGAATCCTTAAGGCGGGCATTTTTTTCTCACATTAAGAAATGGGAAACACAATTACAATGGAGGAAGGTAGGTCTCTGGACGATTTACAATTGGAACAATTAAATGAAGGGATAATCAGTTTAACCAGGATTGGCATAATGTTCATTATCATTTTGATAATCTTTATTGTTGGTTTGATAATTCTTGGTTTATCCTTTAATAAGTTGGTTGATATGAGTGCCAAAATACAGACCTTAGAAAAACTTATTAAAACAGATCATAGAGATACTCAGATCCAGACAGAGGAATTTAAAGGAGACCCAATCTCAGCATTGCATTCAAACTGCCAACTTAAATTTATTCAGTAACCTTATAGGAACAGCTGCCACATGATAGATATCCTCAAGGTTGTACAAGACCTGCATTGACTTCTGTGGAAATGTTAGATTTAAGAAAATTCAAGGAAGTAATAGTCTCATATGGCATATATTCACCTTTTGTGAAGCAGGTGTTAAACTTGTGGCCAACTTCTAATAAAATTAACCCTCAAGACTGGAGAGACTTTGTTACATTAGAGCCTGTCCTCATTACAATGGAGGACCTGGTGGAAAGATGAGGCTAAGACCATTGAACAACAAAGTAAGACTAGAAGTATGGAAATCTCCCAAGACCAACTTCTTGAAGAGGGAGATTATGTTAATGTACAAAGGCAATCTTTATATGATGACCACACCTTGGCTTTATGCTGTACAGCAACTTTGAATGCTTGGGATGGAACTGAAGAAATAGAAAAGAAAACTGAGTCATTTACTATGGTTATACAGGGCCCAAAAGAAACCTTCGTGGATTTCTTACAAAGATTGACTTCAGCTGTAAATAGAATGATACCAAATTCAGAAATTAGACAAATAATAATTGAATCTCTGGGTTTTGAAAATGCTAATGTACAATGCAAAGGGATAATTAGGCCATTAAAGGTGAGATCAGCAGCCTTGGAAAAATGGATCTGAGATACAATCAGTATTGAATCTCATGACCATGAAGAAGCTTGGATAAGAGAGGTGATTCCTAGAAGTTTGAAGAAAAATCAAAATGTCAAGTGTTTCAATTGCCATAAAGAAAGTCAGCTAAAAAGGGATTGCAAACAGGGTATTCCTAGAAACAATGCTTTTTCTAAGCATAATTAAAATGGAACACTCCATTCTGTAGAAGTGAATAATCCACTTCGTTGTGGATTATTCAGAAGGTATGACAAAGACAGGCATTGAACTAATGAATGCAGATCAACAATGGACAATCAGGGTAATCCTTTCCATCAGGAAATGCCTTGAGGGGCCTCTTGCAGGTACCCATGCAAAGTTCAGTTCATTTGTTTTCTGTATCCATGGAGGAAATGCCTTCCAGAGCAATTAAAGAACCAAATGCTTATTGTAAGAAACCATACTGCTCTGGATGATAGAAAAGCTATAGAAGAGAGAATAAGAAATACGGGAGAAGCCATAAAGCAAATATTCTGGCAAACTTTTATAAATAAAGACCAAAATTTAAAATGCAAATAAATGATGCCATTAAAGGTCTTGTAGACACAGGTGTAGATGTAACAATAACTGCACCAGAATCTTGGCATCCAAATCGATCTCTTCAGGATGTAAATGTTCATCTTTTAGGGATTGAAATGCTATCTTAGGTAAAAGAGAGCTTAAAATGGGTCAAATGTATAGGTCCAGAAGGACAGAGAGGAAAATTAGAGCTATATGTGATTAACAGCAATGAATTTGTGGAGATATGATTTATTACAACAATAGAATTCTCAGCTTAACATTCCCCCAATCTTGGAAACAAACCATAAGTTAATGTATGATTATAGGGAAATATTAGAAGGTATTATAAAGAGCAGTCATCAGTCATGTAGGCTGTACAAGAACAGAGCACAACAGCTGCTGATCTTCCAAAAGCACCAACAGCCCTGCCTTTAAAATGACTGACAGACAAACCTAAATGGGTTGGGCATTAACCTTTAACAACAGAGAAAATGCAGGCTTTAGAACAGGTGCTAAAGGAGCAACTAAATGCTCAGCATATGGAAAAATCAACCAGCCCTTGGAATTCTTATGTATTTGTTACTAAAAAGAAATTTGGAAAAAGAAAAATGGTAACAAATCTGAGAGCGGTTAATAAAGTGATTCAGCCAGTGGACTCTCTACAGCCTGGAATTCCTTTGCCTTCTCTATTGCCTAAATGATGGCCTCTCATTGATTTAAAAGATTGTTTCTTCACTATACTGTTACAGGAAAAAGATAGAAAAATTTGCCTTCATGGTGCCTCCTTATAATAATTCTCAGTCTGTTAAGAGAGATCAATGGGCCAGGTGGTGGTGGTGCATGGATATCTGTGAGTTCAAGGCCAACCTGGTCTACAAGAGCTAGTTCCAGGACAGCTAGGACTATTACACAGAGAAACCCTGTTGAGAGAGAGAGAGAGAGAGAGAGAGAGAGAGAGATCAATGGAAAGTTCTCCCACAGGTAATGTTAAATAGCCTCACCCTGTGACAATATTTTGTAGTCAGTTGCTGGAAATAATATGTAAACAATTTCCTCTACAATAGTTTACCATTACTTAGATGACATTTTACTAGCTGATTCAAATGTAGATACTTTAGAAAGAATGTTTGAAGAACTAAAGAAAACTTTGTTTTATTGGGGATTACAAATTGCTCCTGAAAAAATATAAAGAGGAGATTCTATTAATTATTTATGATATAAAATAGGTCTACAAAAATTAGATTCCAAAAGGTGCAAATTAGAAGAGATTCCTTGCAGATTTTTGGTGACTTTCAAATATTTCTAGGAGACATTTCCTATCTACAGCCCACTATTGGGGTAAAACCTGATGATCTGAGTAATTTGTTTAAAACCTTAGACAGTGACAAGAACTTAAACAGTCCAAGAGAATTATCAGCAGAAACTGGGAGAGAAATTGGAGAACGCACATGTGGGTCATGTGGAGCTGAGCTTACCTACATTCTAGTTGATTACCTCTAAGCACTCCCTACAAGAATAGTAATGCAGAGGGAAGAGGTTTTCTTAGAATGGATCTTTTTACAACATAAACAGATTAAAAATTAAAAATTTATGTGGAAGAGACTTCTGAGTTGATTCTAAAAGAAAAATAGAGACTTCATAAATTAACAGGAATAGACCCAGCAGAAATTTTAGTACCTTTTACTAATGATAAAATTGA